GTGTGTGTGTGTGTGTGTGTGTGTGTGTGTGTGTGTGTGTGTGTGTGTGTGTGTGTGTGTGTGTGTGTGTGTGTGTCGAGGGAATTGTAAAATTTTTCTCTGCATATTGTGTAATCTTGACCTCTTTAATAAAATATATTTGGTGTTTCAATAAACAAACATGTAATGACTGATATGATCTTTGAAATAAAAGTTGTCAAACAGAGATTTGTATCTGGAATTAATTTGCCAGGTGACGTAAAAAGAGCATGCTGTACATGGCAAAAAAAAGTCCCCAAGGGTGCCGATATTGTAAGACATATTGCATCAGATAAAAGCCAGACTGTTGCTCTTCTTATCTTTTATTAATGACATTTAATTCTCTCATTCTGCAATGGTGCGCAGCAACTCTTCAATGACATCATCAGAGCTGAGCTGCAAAGCTAATCAGGTGCTCACAGGTGTGCAGTTRACTGAAATGTCAGGTTGACAGAAAAGGAAACTTCTTTTTTCACATGGATGCAGCGGAGAGAAAAGGACAATACTTTTATTTCTGTAAAAACAGACATGGAGTCTAGCAACACATGATCCACACACAATTTAGCTTTAACAGCTACTAAATTAGGTATTAACTTGATACTTAAACTCTTTGCAGACAGTTAAAGGGATAAACAGATTCTAAAGTGAAACACAGGTTAAGAACAGTAATCTTAGCTTTTGCTGACAACTTTTTGAACAAACTGGGTTTGTAGAAATACAGTTTAATTCCACCAGGACTGATGAGCTAAACAGTTTGTCCAAGCAGGACAACCAAAACTACTGCCATCTTAAAAGTGCATGTATTATGCAAAATGGACTAGTTTTCAAGCTTTATATCATGTTATAATGTCATTCCCTCATCAAACACATACCCAGAGTGTTGCTTTGACTCAGTCGTAYATGTTTGATAAATCCTTGAATCTGCTGTGGCAGCCATGTGGAGCTATCTAAACTCATGCGGGAACTATTTGCACAACGTTCCTCCCTAGAGCTCAGTCTACAGTCAAGCTCAGGCCCTACAGAGCCCCCCACCACCACCACCACCCCCCAGCATTGTTTGAAAATGTGATGAAATGGGAGCGTTAGAAATGATAGGAAGTGAAGTTCTTAAAGAGACAGATGCCAATTTCAAGGCGTTTAGACAGACAGTAGCTGTAGGGTAGCTGGACTGTCATGAATCACGTCTGTTTCCTGCCCCAGTCCTGTCACAGTCAATTATCTCCTAATTGTTTCTCCCCTCCCATCTCAGCCAACCTCAATCAACGTCATGCCTCTCACCTGTGATCAGCAGTATTTAAGCTCCTCGCATCCACAGCTCCAGTGCCAGATTTATGAATGGTTCAGCCTAGTAGTTATCCAGCATTCATGTCACGTCTTGCCTGCCTCGTCTCGACCTTGGTTCTCCTCACTGGTTCTTCGTCTCTAGCTTTGCCCCTGAATGGTACCGTCCCAGACTCTGCCCTCCTGGTTTTGACCCCCACTCTGGACTCTGGATTTCTGCCTCCTGCCTCRCTCCCCATCGGTACTGTTCTGCCTTCTGACTCCTGGATTAYGACCACGTTCCTCTGCTCCAACCACGAGATAAGTCTGCTCCTTCTCACCTGGTTCTGCTCTCAGTCTGCCTGTGTATGACCCCCGCCTGTCCCACGGATTACCCCTGGACCTTTAAGTCGCATCGGAGGTTTCTCTCCAAACACRAAAGTGTCACTGGACACCACCCGACGCTTTCCACGTCACTCAAGAGTTCGCTCAGGACCAAGTGTTCTCAAAAGGTTAGTGGCTCAATTTTATGCTAGATCCGTCCCTCTGTTTAATCCAGCCACTAACCTTTTCCTCTTTTGTTTAGAGCTCCTGGTTCCCTTGACATGCGCTTCCAGATCCAGCTTCCTGTTTTTAAATAAAACTTTTAAAACTGCTTTGGTTTCTGGCATCTCAGTGAAACTCATTTCCCCAATCATTACATGGACTCTCTGGATATAGGGTAAGAAGTTCAGTTATCTGGGAGAGACYATGAGYAGAGCCGCTGMTCCTCCACATAGAGAGGAGCCAGTTTGAGGTGGTTTGGGCATCTAGTAAGGATGCCTCCTGGACGCCTCCCTAGGAAGGTGCTTCAGGCATGTCCAACTGGGAAGAGACCTTGAGGAAGACCCAGGACATGCTGAAGAGATTATGTCTCTCAGCTGTCCTGGGAACACCCTGGAGTCCCCCCAGAAGAGCTGGAAGAAGTGGCTGGGGAAAGAGAGGTCTGGGGTTCCCTGCTCAAGCTGCTGCCCCCACAATCCAACAATGGATGGATGGATGGATGGATGGATGGATGGATGGATGGATGGATGGATGGATGGATGGATGGATGGATGGATGGACAGATGGGTGGATGGATAGTAGCCATGTTTCCATCAGTGTTTTTTATGTGCCTTTTGAAGTATCGCATTRGAAAATGTTGATGGGAATGGCAAAATCTGAAAAGATTTCCTAAATTTTGCAAAAAAAAAATAGTTTGTATGCTTGCTTGAGGTTGTTTTTGGATTTTCTGAAAATAGTCAATGTACAAAAGGAGAGATGGAAACACATTTGCCAAATAAATTTTGGCGTAGCGAACATTTACCTCAAATGGTTTATCAGCTGTTCCCATTGTCAATGTCTTTGTGGATATTTTCATAGTGCAGAGATATTTACATTTCTTTCTTTAYGTCTCCAGACAGCACGTAACATCGCCAGTACTAGTTAATATGACAGAATAATTACAGCTTACCCACTAGCAACACACTCCTGAAAAGTCCTCTCCATTATCACAAGATGTGTKGTCCCTGCTAATTGTCAACCTCTACTTCCTGTTTACTACACCCATTCGTAACATCSTCTGATGTAATTACGTTTTGCACTCCTGGTTTGCATTTCTTGTTTGTTTGTTTTGTTTGTTTGTTTGTTTGTTTTTTGTTGTTTTTTTTTTTGTTTGTTTCTTTTAACTTTTTTGCTGCATTTTAAAAGTTCTCTCAAAATTTGCATTACAATTGGATGGAAACATGGCTAATAATGCAAAGTCAAATTTATTATTGATATATACAGCATTTTCATAATAACTGAAGGTAACAGTTAATTGATTGTGGCATAGATTTGAACTATGCGCCTGAAAAAATACATTATTTAATACATAAACCCTCCTTCAAGACATTTCCACACATGTACAGATTTTCTGCAAATTACACAGATGTCCCTCCTATTTTGCATTTATACAGACATATTGAACAATCTTACAGATTTTTTTCWAAAACTTTCCTTCAAATTAATTTAAGTCTCACAGCTGGCAGGCTGTAAGGAAATTTGCCGCCTCCTTGTTCTCCCTGCAGACACTGTTATCTGCACCAACAGTCCGCTTGTCTGTTCTGAACACTCCTCCTTGCACCTAGCTTTTATACACTTTTCATTGTCATACCTAAAAGATGATTTTAGTTTTGTGTTGTCTCTGCTTCACAAGCAATGCACCTCTGTAGAAAATAGATATATTTGTTTTTACTTTATTATTGTGAAGAACCTCAAATGTTTAAGTCACACAAAACATGCTAATTCACCACCATTGGTTGGTGATATTTAAATTAATTTAGAATAATGTCCCAAAGGGGTGCATATTATGCTAAGTGCATCCTTTTTTCTTTCTTGTTAAAAATAAATGTCTTTATAAAACCCTTTTTGTGTATGTGACTGGGCTTTCTTTAAAGACCAAGTGATAGCCAGTTTCTGCTGAAGTCTCTTTTAATTTATGCAGCCTTAACCCTGCAAATTAAACCAAAGATCAATGCTCTGTTGATTGATTACATTTTTTAGAGGAGCGAAGTTGCTAAGAGTTGTTTGAACAAATGATCACTATAGGTCAAAAACCAGCCAGTAATCACTAAAAACCTCAACTACCTCAGACCTGCACACAGACCCAGTCCAGTCAAAATAAATGGAAGTTTACTGAAGTAGAAACTGAACAGGAGTCACTTTCTCACATTTTGGTGCTTGGAGTCAAGTTTTTGTTAAAAGGGGAAAAAAAGATTTTTTGAGGTTCAAATGTYCACAGGCAAAACACCATAATCTGGAAAATAAAAGAACAAAAAAATCTTTAAACAGGATAAATGCAAGTAGCATTAATCCCCCCACCCCACAACCAAACAAAAATTGCTTGCTGTCCAAGTTCCACAAGCAATAGTCTTGATTTCTATTGTGCAAATCATATTCTCTCCTACACATGATGATGCATAATTACTCTTTTTCATTACTTCATGATAAACTATTATACCTTCTTCCTACTGA